ATCGATCATTCGTAACTCCGATGTTTAATTGTATTATATTCCGCCTCTGTCCAGTTCCCTGGACATTGATGCATTCGTGCCTGAAGATATGTTATACATGCACAGTACACTATAAATATAGCATGTATGTACACAAGTGAATTTCCTGTATTCGGCTGAAACCGTCTGTATACATTTAATGAACATGTTCGTTTATCTTATATGCAACTAGTAATGAATAACGCTCCCACTCTCTCCAAGTACGACTCTCTTTCCGTCCGTCTCAAAATCGTAGAATAGTCAAAGTTGAGCTATTGGTACCCATCATACCGCAAATCAAAGCCCTCGTGGTATATTCTTGTTCTATCCAATCGATCCAATCGCGAGTATACAAATAGTGTAATGGCCTACAGGGCTGTCGAATCCGTTTCGATTTCACGCGTCTTAATCCTAACGGCGGCGCCTTCACTGCGTTGTTGTTGGACGAATCCTACGACTAGAATTAATATTAGACTCCCGAATTATGACCAACGAGAAGTCTAGTTTTACAGATTGTCCGAACTAGCACGACGATCCTATCAAGGTGACGTAACACGAAGCAATCCAAGGTGTAGCGAAGACAAAGATCCCGGGAAAGATTCCAAGATGCCCTTCGATCTGTCGATTAAACCTTTTTCCATCGAAGGTAGGGTGATACACGTGGTGACGTCTCTTCACGCGCACCCCATTATTATTCACAACCGAGATTGAGAGAGACGGTGAAAGTACATCTATTACAGTCGTAAGGCAACTTGTAGATTTTCTAATTTTCACGATAAAAACGAACCCTCGCTCGAGATAACGTAAGTCTAGTATGATAATGACAATTATTGCGAGGTATCGTCGAATGGGTTTGATCTTCGCGGTAGAGATTACAGTGATTAAATAAATTGATTGTACAAACGGCTGTACCTAACCTAATTGTCACAATATTATACATATATAATATATACTATATACTATATACATGTAATATTGCGCATATTACATATACTATAGATAAAAACAAAGACGCATGCGCGCGCGCGCGTGCACACACACACACACACACACAAAATGTATATTAATAATATAATACCATTGACGTGTACGTTGTATAGAACGTCGTAACGATACACGCGAAAGAGATACACATTATATACGATATGCGGATGCAGATAGGTATATAAGCATCGACGCGACATAATATAATAATACACACATATGAGAATATGAAATCGACGTTATTATCCTAATGAAAACGGAGCACACCTTTTATTGTGGCCTGGTTCGCTGTAATTTTGTGTCAAACGAAAAGAAAATGCTATAACTTCTCTCCATTTGTTATCATACTCTCGAAAAGACGTGAAGACATTCGAATTGTGACGCAATGACATATTTTATAAAAGAAAAAAATTTGACATGTGATATAGATGGTAAGACACGATTACGTGTTGCATTGCATATGACAAAAATGTATTCTATATAACGTTTCATTAAAGTAACCAAAACAAGTGGCTTGTTTATTTCTCTCCGACATTTTTCAATGATCAATGATCTTGCCAAAAGGCTCTCGATCTTATTACGCTCTTGTAAACATGTTTTACAATTTTCACTCTTAATTCTCCATCATTCGCTAGGGAGTCTCAAAGAGGCTTTCTGAAATATATATTGTGATTTCTCAGAAATTCTCCGGGAATAGTTAGAACTATTATGTCATTTCTTTCTTTAACGCACGTCAATGTCCATTGGTCTGTCTATCTCTGTTACACTCGAAGCAACTACGAGAAAACTTAAAAAAGAAAAGGCTGTAAGGTCATAGAGGATTTAATTAAATCCAACGGGATGGATTTTTCAAATGGCATCGAGGGAGAGGCGCCCATTTTCTCCAATCACTTTCGACAGCATCCGGCATCGAACCACTGAACGGAGGAACGCGGGAGCGCGCATGACGGAACTGAAGCGACGCCGCGATGCCGGATTGAGCGGGAGCGAGCCAAAAGATGGCGCCCAATGCTTGCTCGCTGCGGGCCCGTGAATCGTCTCAACGCTGCAGAAAGTAGTCCCAACGATAAAGGTGGATATTGCGTTACGGAACTGCGAATAGGCGCGATCAACACCCGAATGTACGCAACGGTAACAATTTGAAATTTGTCGAAGGTTCTCATAGCAGCTATCACCAGATTCAGTCAGACGAACGAGAAGAAGAGGCCTGAGAGCCTCGGCATTTGTAAGTGGCGGCAAGCGGTGTGGTATTCGGTGATATTCGTTGGTGCTATTCAGTGGTATTCCTACGCCGGCGCGCAACGAACGACGACGAAGAAAGAAACAGGAAGTTGGAAGGGGGCATCAAGGCAGTTTATTCGGTGATACATGTGGGCATCTGCCGTGATCTGCCGGTTACGTCGAGTTTAGCATCGCGCTGTACGCGTTAAGTCGGAATTACGGGGTGTCAGGCCGCGCAGCGCCAAGCCATGCAGATGGATTCGACCACGGTGCAACTCATCCAGGTCCTCGAGAAGACCGTATCGCCAGGTAAGCCTATCTCGAAGAGGAATTATTGAACATCTCCGTGGCGTTCATCGTTGTAATCTCGCCTTTTGCCCGTTATCTAATATGACCCGAACGAAACGCATCACGTATGCACTGCTATGTGGAATAGTCTATAGCGATCTGCAGCACAGAATTTTATTTTCAAAATTGGGATTACATCCATTTGTTGCGTCCCTCTACGACGTATGACACGCTTGTGAGTAGTAGCCCGGATTTATCCATTATCGGCCACCATCGGTCGCTATCCGTCGTGGGGCTCTTTATACCACTCCTGTTTCCTCTTCAAATTTAATTCCAACGGTTCGATGCCTTTCGTTCCCCTTCCTGGCAGAGTCTACGAGAACTTTCGGGTCTTATCGCGAATCATTGAGATGCATATAACACGCGTGAACCTTGGGATTTTTCTGTTTCATTAGTCTCGATAATGCCGTATCTCATGGGTTAGGCTGTTGCTAAGGGCTTCGTCCCGCCACTTCAAAACCACTGACCACCTTATAGAAATCTTAGGGCCTTGGATCTTAGGGCTTTTATCGCAAATAAATTTATTAAATAGATGACAGTTTACTTGTGTCCACGTAACTTCTTCTATAAGCCCGTCTTCTGGTAGATCTATTCATTATCTCTTGTTACTTATAGTCTCTTAGTCCATTACTAGCATTTATCAGACAAATTATTGTAATTACAATGTCTTTGCGTACTTACTAAAAAGTAAAACTATTTATCTATTTCAGATAAAAATGAGCTCGAAGCGGCACAAAATTTTCTTGAGCAGGCAGCACAAACAAATCTCGTAAGTTCTGATCAGATGCTTTCCAATGTCAGTTCTAATAAAGCTGCATTTTATAATTGATATATCATACTTTTTTTAGCATGAATTTGTGCAACGCCTCAGCGGTGTGCTGGTCACTGCTGCAGCAAGTGCTGTTTCCCGAATGGCAGCGGGTCTTCAACTAAAGAATCAACTTACTTCCAAAGATCCTGCATTAAAGTCTCAGTATCAACAGCGGTGGTTGGCCATTCCTGTAGAGACGAGAGAGTACATTAAGAAAAATGTAAGTTATATTGAGAAAGAGTTAATTGAGTTCATCAGTCAGGTAAAATTGTAGTTTTAACCATTAACTCTGATTGAAATATAGATTTTAGAAGCGCTTGGGACCGAAACCAATAGGCCAAGTGCTGCTGCACAATGTGTAGCCTATGTAGCTGTTGCCGAATTACCAGTTGGTCAATGGAACGATCTCATTCCATTGCTCGTAAGCAACGTGGCCAATCCAAACAGCACAGAAATGATGAAGGAGGCCACTTTAGAGACAATAGGTTACATCTGCCAAGAAATCGAGAGTGAAGTCCTCGAATCACAGTCTAATCAAATCCTCACAGCCATCATCCATGGAATGAAAGGGTCCAACACTTCAAATCACGTTAGACTCGCAGCGACCAGTGCTCTCTTCAATTCCCTTGAATTTACCAAAGGAAACTTTGAAATAGAGGTTAATACATTATACATTGCACTTTTTTAAATTGCTATTTTTTAAATTTATTTTTGTATATTTGCATTTTCGATAATTTTGTATTTTTATTCGTAAGTTTGTCTTACGATTCATGCAATGTTGACTTTACTTACAGTCTGAGAGAAATTTTATCATGGAAGTGGTCTGCGAAGCGACTCAGTCTAGCCACACGCAAGTCAGAGTGGCTGCTCTGCAATGTCTTGTAAAAATTATGTCCTTGTACTATCAGTATATGGAACCGTATATGGCCCCAGCGCTATTTCCCGTAAGTAGCCACCGGCATCGCATAGCTCATTCCATCCAAGCGCGCAGAAACTACAAATATATGCTTCCTTGATCTATGTATCTACGCAGATTACTTTGGAGGCCATGAAGTCCGACATCGACGAAGTTGCGCTGCAGGGTATTGAGTTCTGGTCCAACGTATCCGACGAAGAGGTAGATCTGTCGATGGAGGAAGGTGAGGCCTTGGAAGGAGGACGTCCACCAGTAAAAGTTTCGAGGCACTACGCAAAGGGCGCTCTCCAATATCTGGTGCCAGTACTCATGCAAAAGCTAACCAAGCAGGAGGAATTCGACGACGAGGATGATTGGAATCCGTCAAAGTCAGCCGGGGTGTGTTTGATGCTATTATCCTCCTGCTGCGAGGAAGCCATTGTACCGTACGTGCTGCCCTTCGTCAAGGCCAACATTAAGAGTCCCGACTGGAGATTCCGTGATGCCGCGCTTATGGCCTTTGGCTCGATTCTCGGAGGACTCGAACCAAGTACTCTGAAGCCACTTGTCGAGCAAGCCATGCCGACCCTCATCGAACTCATGTATGACAACAGCGTTGTGGTCCGGGACACCGCAGCATGGACATTCGGACGGATTTGTGAGATCATTCCCGAGGCAGCAATAAACGAGACGTATTTAAAGCCTCTTCTGGAATCGCTGGTGAATGGGCTAAAGGCAGAACCAAGGGTCGCCGCGAATGTATGTTGGGCGTTTACCGGACTCGCCGAGGCCAGTTACGAGTCTACCGAGACAGCGGCCGACAAACAACCGGAAACGTATTGCATGTCGCAGTACTTTGACTTTATTGTCCAGAGGCTCCTAGAGACGACAGATAGGCCGGACGGTGCACAAGCGAACTTAAGGTCGGCGGCGTATGAGGCTCTCATGGAGATGGTTAAGAATTCCCCTCGCGATTGTTACGTGACCGTACAGCGTACCACTATGGTCATACTCCAGAGGCTGCAGCAGGTTCTGCAAATGGAAACGCACATTCAGAGTCATTCGGATCGCGCCCAGTATAACGATCTTCAGTCACTACTATGCGCGACACTACAGTCGGTACTGCGTAAAGTCACGCCAGAAGATGCACCTCAGATATCGGACGCAATCATGACCGCGTTGCTCTCCATGTTCAACTCGAACTCGTGTAAATCCGGCGGCGTTCAAGAGGACGCGCTAATGGCCGTGTCGACCCTGGTCGAAGTGCTGGGCGAAGGATTCCTCAAGTACATGGACGCGTTCAAGCCATTCCTTTGCCTTGGTCTGAAAAATCATGCCGAGTATCAAGTGTGCGTCACCGCGGTGGGTCTCACTGGGGACATCTGCCGTGCCCTAAAGAATAAAATCCTTCCGTACTGCGACGAGATCATGACTCTTCTTCTGGAGAATCTTGGAAACAACAGCGTGCATCGTTCCGTGAAGCCGCAGATTCTCGCAGTCTTTGGAGACATTGCACTGAGCATTGGGCCCGAGTTCAAGAAGTATCTAGACGTCGTACTGCAGACTCTGGCGCAAGCTTCGCAGGCGAACGTTGACAGATTGGATTACGATATGATCGACTATCTGAACGAACTGCGCGAGGGCATTCTCGACGCGTACACAGGAATAGTGCAGGGTCTCAAAGGGGACGGGAGCACGCCAAATCCTGATGTGAATCTACTCGAGCCACATGTTCCCTTCATGATCCAGTTCATCACTTCGATCGCACGGGATCGAGAGCATTCCGATGGCAACGTAGCCGCTTCCGCAGGACTGATCGGTGACCTGGTAACGGTCTTTGGCGTGACGCTCTTGCCAATGATAGATAACGAACCGATAATGGATCTCCTAACCAAAGGCAGACGATCGCGCACCAACAAGACGAAGGCCGTATCCGCGTGGGCTGCCAAGGAAATTCGGAGATTAAAGAATACCCTCAATGCGCCGTCTAGTTGGTGAGTCACAAATCTTTAATGTGCAATGCTTACGTAAACCTGCATCACGTTTCTATTTTAATGTTTTACTTTTCCCTTCAACATTCCTTGATCTCATCTCTGCATCGTACTTTGCCCCCCCCCCCCCCCTCCAAATCAATATCACAATTCTTGTGTCTTTATATCTTTTCTTGGCTCTTCTACCACTGACCTCGGTAGCCCGGTTGTCTCTCGTAATGATATGCAACTGCAGTCATCCTTACTCGGAGATAAAGCCAAAGTTCACCCTTGTTATTTAATTCCACATTCACATGCATAATGTTTCTTCGTAAACCCTTCTCCCAGCGCCGTTGTCGCACTTTGGCTTTTTCGAGAGCACTTATTTTTTTTACTTAAAGAAAATGCGACTAAAGTGGTAGCTGTGTGTAAAAACACAAGGAGCACAGTGCCCCTAGGAGAGAACGCAACGCAGAGACATTGAGGTATGAATGACAGAGGACGAATGTCAATAGAATGAAATATGAATGGGATCGCGTAAGAAAGAATGCGAAAGAGTGAGAGGAAACGAGGATAGAGGAAGGAGGGGAAGAGGTGGGTGATGGGTGGTGGGGTAAGAAAGAACTCGAAATTAGGAGAAGTCGTTTTCGTTTGTTCTTTTAAAGTCTCATAACGTCACGAATGCGCGGTCCGTCAGTTACTGATATTTGGCCCGATTTTGCTGTTCACAGATTACCCCACGGTTGTACTGTCGTGCAATTTCATTTGACTAGAACGCTATCGAACACAATACAAAGACAACAAGATTGGATGGTGCGGATGCGAGTTGATGGATGTGCGTGAGTTCCAAAAGGATGACGATGAGGTGATGATGAATAAGTCTGCACGTGTCCCAGTCCGCCGGCGAATAATATTGCCCTGGTGTCGAAGCAGCCCCATTCTCAATACCTGTACGGATCCCGGATGCTGAATGCCAACTACGGATGATGAGAGATGCAAGTGGAATATGTTGCCGATGAATGAGAGAAGAATGAAGCCCTGTCGTGGTCCGGTGATGCAAGTGTGCCTGATAATCGAGCCTGCATCTTCTACCCGCGTGATTGTAACGTTTGACCACTGTGAAACTTTCGACGTGTGATCGAATTAAGGAAGAATGAGCGTTGACCGCAAGAAGAATGTCCGTAAACGAAAGGAAGAGAGAGAGAGAGTGCGTGTGCGTGTGCGTGTAAAAAGATAGGGAGAGTGCGTGAGAATGAAATGTTGTAAGAAAGGTCGTTTTTTAAGGAAAGCCTAAGAAATGTATGAGAGAGCATTTGAAAGAAAAATTTAAAAAAAAAATGAAAAAAAGAATTGAGCCGAGCAAAATCCGGAGTGCCAGGATCGTATATGAAATGGAATAAGTTTGTTTTTATGCGCGTAGCTTTGTGCGTGCTCACTGGTATGCATGTATCAATGTACGATTGCGTTAAGAGTACATGAGAAGACTGCGAGAATCGATGATCTGTAGTACGACGTGTATGTTACTTTCCTCGAATGTGAATGTCCGTTGCTGTTGATTCATTAAAGTTAATATTTTGCTGGCATCAATTATTGAGTTGTAACCGAACGCCTCACGTCCAGTACACGTATCTCCACCGATGGCAACAAAAAAAAATAAATAAAAAAAAAAAGGGACATATCGTTCCTATGCAGCACGTAGGTAATGGTCGCACTCTCGAATACATTATACGCTTCGCATTGGGCTACTGCACACCTTCAGGCGTAATCATCGTTTTCAAGCGATCGACGCTCGATTATTCTTACGCGCATAGAAATGTTACCTGCTCGCGACACATTCCAAGGTACTTTATTCGATTTCGCGCAGAGATTTGCAGTAACGAAACGTACAATGAAAATGCATGCGCTTTCCTGAAGTCAAATTACGCCAATTTTTAATTTTTTTTTCTCTTTTCCTTTCCCTATACTTTTCTTATCCTTGTACCGCCACTCTGCTGGGATTAGCACGTGAGGCGGTATGCGACGTTACGGAATCCTATAAATATTACTCAGGAATAAAACGAAACGTCGTACTAGGGAATATCGTGAATTCGTTAAATAGTAATATCTCTTTAATTTTCGACTGTTAGAGAATAGAGAATAGAGACTGGAGCGAAACCTCGAGGAGCGCGTCAAGCACCGTGCTCGCAAGTTTTTCAATATTTTTCAAAGGTTTGAGGAACGTGGAAGGGAGTGTGGGGGGGGGGTGACGCGTACAAGGGCAGGAGGGTAGCTAGCCCCTCCCCTCCCCCTTTGACTTTCATTCTTATCGCCAGGGTGCACATTTCCTCTCCATCCGTGGTGCCCGATACCCGTTGCCCAGAAAAAGAAAGAATCGCAGGTGCGCGCCTACTTCACCTCACAATCAGTCCTCTTGGTCTTCATGGAAGCATTCCCATTGTTCATGTATTTATATCATATTGATACGATTACTAGCTGTAGGCTTTTGCATCGATCCAATCTTACCGCGGTGATGTATAAGGAGCGGAAGGAGCCCAGGAAAAAAGGAAATATAGATTAATAAAGAGTCCTATGTCGCTTGCGATGTTCTTCATTTTCGTGACTATCGGACCAGGTGAATCTTACATATCTTTCGGCAAGATTCTGTTCCTGTAGGTGATGAGCGGACGAAGCGTTCGTTAGAGTTAGCGTGAAGGGGGTTTAGTAATTGGGGGGGAGGGGGGGGGATCAAAATTTCTTGTATCTTTGGTCGAACTAAAAATGCTGCCTAAGAAATATTAAATAATAGCAGTTGGCGTCGTCTAAAGCGCGCGTGTAATTGGCCATCTGCAGGATGAATGGGGTCCCCGTTGTTTGCCGAGTGAAGTGAAAGGGTGGCTGCTGGAGATTCAAATGGAGGATGTTAAGGATGACAGAGTCGAGTGAGAATGACCGATCATTAATGTATTTCCTGTGGCTGTGCCTGTGGTATGTCGCACGGTGGTGCATCGTATGTGAGTCTAATATGCGCGAACAAATGGAGGACGTGTCGACGCAATAACCATTTTGCATTGTATCAATGAATCTGGTGCGGTGAATTAATTTACGTGGGTCGTTGCGGCTAGCGAGAAAGTTTTTGATTTCAAAGTAGGTGTGCGCAAAGAGGGTGCAACTACTGTGGCTCCGTCGAGCGTCGCGACGCAAGGAACATAAAGAGTGCTGAAATCAGAATGGTGGAAGGAAATCGAGTGGAGCGAGTGTGAAGGAAATTATGTTGCCGTACGAGAGAGAGAGAGAGAGACGCAAGACGCGCGGGTACAGAGCGCTGGCTGGCAAGTGGTCGAGGGGTCAAATTCGAATCGGACAAGTGGAGCCTCCGGACCGGGTCGAGCAGCGTCAAACGTGTCGACGATGTTCCACCTGAGACGAACAGCCGAGTCTCCTTGGAGTCTGCACACTTGCCCCAGTGCACGTGAGCGACGAAGCCTCAGTCCAAAATTTCCAGCGTCGCGTTGTCGTTTTTCTCTGTGGTAGCGAATTACGTGAAATTCGGCAGGATTACGTTCCTCCGTAATTGACGAATGGCGTCGGTGCGCCGGGGGAACCGTCGAGTCCATTAACGGGGATGCGTTTAGTTTAATGAAAATAAATCGCACTTGAAGGCAAAGAAGAGTAATTCCGCATGCGGTATATGAGTGTGTGTGTGTGTAAGTGCGAGAGAGTGAGGAGACGATGACTGTCCCTTGAGTCGGTTATACATGTGTTCATGATTGAATTTGCGTGGTGAAAATGTTAATTGTGCAAATAACTGCGAAAGAGATTGTATAGACACGCACGCGGAGTCATTGTAATCTAATAACAAATCAATTACGTACACCGGTACACATGCTACAGGATCTTACGTACACACGACATATATTTTTTTCATTTCAATACTATAAATACATTCGACTTTCTTGTGAGAAATTGCGAAGCGCCGTATGACGGAGTCAAGCAGAACTCTTGTGCCATATTTAATGAATCTTCGAGTCTCGATGCTTCTCTCGTAGATAGTAGAACACTCGTAGCATATAGGGTGCACTATAGAGGCCTCGGAGTACGTTGCAGCACTTTGCAGATTGGAGCTCCCATGTCAGGACGACATGCGTTATTCTTTCTGCGGCATGACCGCACCTTCCTTACGCGCATAGTATGTACTACTTCTATTTCTCTCTCTCTCTCTCTCTCTCTCTCTCTCTCTCTCTCTCTGACTCCATCTTTCATTCATTTCTCTAGTCTCCGTTATCCTCGCCTTCGTAATACGAGCATGTGTGGCGCAAGAAACAAGAAAAGAAAATCCGATCGACTAAAATGTTTGGCAGATCTCATTTTGAGATCCTCCTGGAATAAAAGATTTTAATTGTAAATCGACAACTTCTTCTTATTAATTGTTATGCGGTCAAAGGTCATGGAGCTCCTTCTCCTCTGTTGTCTCTCTCCAGCAGCTAGTGACGACTCTCTAGCAGCCGAGACGACTCGGCTTACCCGGCAGTGCTGGCAGCGCCGGCAGTCCGTCTGTCAACTTGAGAATCGCATTTATTTCGTATTTATTCTGATGCGAGTTACGTCGTCGTGCGGACTGTTCTTCCCAGGTTCAACGAAAGTTTTCTCTGTCTCTCGATCCTCCCGACACAACCAAAATTCATCGCGCTGCGATTGCGAATTGCTCCTCACGGCCTACTGGTTCAATGCTCAATATTTCGAGAGCGAGAAATCAAGAAATTCTCCGGGCAATTACAGGAATTCTCGAAAGATTTACCATTGAGATTCTAACGATAAATCTTCCTTAAATTGTTATATAATTGTTACTGGAACTTGTTGCGTAAATTCCGACTGTTGCTTCAACCAATCGCACCTATACATTTTTCTCCATTCAATATTCCGGTTACATGTCCCAAACTCTTATTATCTTTCCAACTGCAAGCATGACCGTCTTCTATGCCCGACTACTTCCTTTTTTTAGCCTTTTATTTTTCTTCGCTGTCGTCCGCGTGTATATGATTCTTTGACAGTGAAGCAGCAGAAGACTTCGAAAGGGGAAAGACTATTGCGAGATCGGTCGACTTGAAATTTCGTTAGATCGTATTCCTGCGCGTACCCACACACGCACCTTCAAGAAGCCGAACGTCATGTGTCAGCAATGGCCCTAATCTCTTGAAAGCAGCCTTAACCCAATTCAATTATATCGTCGACTATAGCGCTTGCTTTAAACCCTCGAGAATCTCTTACGTCCGCCCAGGCGACTCATCCTGTTTCTTCTGGGCAATCCCTTTCGTATCTGGTTTGTTTATTTTTTCCTATCAGAGCTTCTACCGTTGCCGTGTTGCTTGAAAAGCATAACGCTATAGAGGCGAGAGCGTCCTTCGCCGTATCCCATAGCGTGCCATTCTGTCGCCCACACTGCCCACACTCGAGGCTGTAAGAGCCGCATTTCCCGCAGCCATGGAAGAGGGTTAATACATGTCGCCTGACGTTCTTCTAAGGTCTCCCAGAGGTTTCGGTATTGTGAAAGCGGCCGAGGAGTCCGAGTATGCACCCGCCGGATGACAACCCCTCGCTGGACGGGAGCGGCAAGCCACGAGTTACAGAGGACGATGTGAGTAGATCTCTCCTTAATTTCTTTCGTGAAAAATCTTTCACTTTTTACTCGTACTTTTGTTCACTCCTTCCGAAATCTACGCGGCATTGTTGATCAAAGTCCCCCGTGCGTGCCTGTATCTGTGTCTCAGGATAGCTTCGATCTCGACGATCTTTTACCAATCGTCGGAGAGTTTGGCCGCTATCAGAAGCAACTCCTCTGGTTCGTGTGTCTGCCGGCCTGTCTGCCCTGTGGATTTTGCGCCTTTAATCAACTCTTCATGGCAGACACGCCGCCTCACTGGTGCAAAGTCCCCGGACTCGAGGGGCTGGATCCTTCCGGAAGGAGACGACTCGCTATTCCCAATGAGGTGCACGTGAGACCCCTTACGTCCCTCGCTCGGGACAGACACGTTTGATACGGTTGGCCATCCAGCTACCCAGCTACCCAGCTACCCAGCCGTGTCGCAAATCACTCTCGCACGCTTAACGCACTCGTAACCCAGAGCCTAAGGACCATCCTTTCATCCTTTGAACTCGCTTGCCCTCCCTCCATCCGGCAATTTCTCGTAGTTTTCACACGAGTTATCTCTCGCGGCAGGATGCCAATGGAACGTTCAGCCAGTGCACGAGGTACGACGTCGACTGGACCGATCCTGGGATGACGACGGTGGATCAACCTCTGGAACCGAATTCATCCTGGCCCGTGGTACCTTGCGATCATGGCTGGGAATACGACATGTCCGAGGTTGTCTCTTCGATCGTGGTTGACGTACGTCCTTCTTCCTATTACCTCGTCTTGCCCTCTAGACGCACAGTAGTGTAACGAGACTTCTCTACGTGTTGCAGTTTGATCTTGTGTGCGAGCACGCAATCTACCCAACCGTAGGATTGGTAGCACTGAACACCGGTGGACCGATCGGCGTCTACCTGTTCGGGACGCTCAACGACAGGTAATCTCGATCAGGCACCGGCGACCACTCGCAGCTCCTCCAATCGGCAGCCACTAATCTTCATTGTCCTGGCAGAATAGGGCGAAGACTCTCGTTTTTCACGTGCTTGGCGACGCTGATAACCGGGGGCTTCCTCACTTCAATCTCAAACAGCTTCTGGACTTGGGCTGCCACGCGGATGATTGTCGGACTGACGATTCCCGCGATCTATCAGATACCATTCATCATCTGTAAGCATATTCCACCAAAGTTCCAACTTATGCGCATCTCGAGCCTCTGCTTTTACTCCTCTTTCTGTTTCCAGCTTTGGAACTAGTCGGCCCGAATTACAGGTCATTCGTCACCGTGATGACTTGCACCTTCTATACGATGGGACTGTGCATGCTAGCTGGAGTGACCTATCTCATACGCGACTGGAAGACCCTGGCTATCACTACCAGCGCGCCATTTCTTCTCTACTTTCTCTACTGGTGGTTGGTCCCATTTTAGTTGACAATAATTTCGTTTCATATCCACGAATCAGTGTCTAATATCCATCCTGATTGAAGGTTCTTGCCAGAGTCGCCAAGGTGGCTGCTGGCGAAAGGACGCTTGGAGGAGGCAAGTCTAATTCTAGAAAGACTTGCCCACGTTAACGGCAAGGAATTGCCGTCATCCTTTACGCAAAAGCTGCGACAACGGATGACAATGTCGAGAACGAAAAGTGAGGAGGAAAGACTCCGCAATGGACCGGGAGTCTTGTCGCTTTTCAAGACGCCAAATATGCGACTCAAGACGTGTCTCATAACCTTGAACTGGTACAGTACGACCGAGTGCGAGCAAGTGCGCAACTGCTTTTTTTATTCAATGTCCACTCGCTCGATTAACGATTCCATTGTCGGTGCACAGGTTCGCCAACAATATGGTTTACGTAGGTCTGTCGTACTATGGCCCGGCACTGGGTAACGAGGAACACTTGAGCTTCTTCTTCTCTTCCTTTGCCGAAATACCAAGTTACTTGGCCTGTTGGATCGTCATGGACCGGTGGGGACGTCGCTGGCCCCTTTGCCTATGTATGGTACTCGCTGGCGTCTCCTGTATAGCCACAGTTCTCCTGCCCTCTGGTATAAGACAGATTTTTCTTTTCTTCTCCGGGTCGCCATTAGCGACTCGGTACTCACGCTGAAAACGAGAAAGACTAATTCGCGCCATCGCGCTATTCCTTTGCAGACGCTGTCATTGCTACATTGATACTGTTTTTACTCTCAAAGTCGGCCATATCAGCTTCCTTTCTGATCATCTATCCATTCGCGGGCGAACTCTATCCCACGCAATTGCGCGGTGTCGCCATTGGATTCTCAGCATATATCAGCGGCTTGGGACTCATTATTATACCATTTGTCACTTATCTAGTAAGCACGCTTAAATCTTTACACATGTGTTTATCGAGCTTGAATCGAGCGCTTAATCTCATGATAATTTATTGAAATCTCTACCTTCTCTCAGGGAAGAGACAACTTGGTATTGCCTCTGGTGATACTCGGTGTAGTATCTGTAATCGGTGGATTGTCAGGTTTGCGATTGCCAGAAACATTGCACCATCGTTTACCGCAGACCGTGGAGGAGGGCGAACTCTTCGGGAAGGACTGGACGTGTGCGGATTGCATACGCTGCGTCCCAGCAAAGTAAGTAGACTTGTACAAGTATTTCAATACAAGTACTTTTTTCTTTGTCTTTCTCTTGTCGAGTACGCCAAAAATTTTGCAGACCCTCCTCGGCGACGACTTCGTACGAGGATCTGTCGGCGCGCGACACAGTGGAGATGCACGAAGTTCCGGAAGAACCTCGACCAGAGGAGCAACGTTCTGCAGCTAGTGTTCGACGTCTCGTTCGTCAATCAAGCGTAATGGATACTCAAAGAGATTCAGACGGTTCCATAAAAATGACGTACTGGTTTTAGGATAATATAGGTGGAGCTCGAATAAAATGATTCGTTCCCAGAGTGTCGCGCCGACTCGCTCATTAATTATTTAGACAATAAGTGTAATATAGGTATTTATGCATTAAGAAATTCCCCGTGACTTCGAGATAATTTTATAGGTATATTGCGCTCGGGTACCCTCAGTTTTATTGTTCGTCTCACCGGTATACAAAATAACGGATAATCATAATCATACGGGGAAGTGCGCTGGTAACAATACAGTTAAGGTTTGAGATAAGCTATCTTGCCCCATCCGTTCCCCTCCCCGCCGTATCTCGACGAATTATGGCGGATATTATCTCGTCACAGACGCGTGGTCCTGTTGTAGCAGCTGGAAGAACGTCAAGAGATAAATCGTATCGATTACCGTCGATCGTATTTACGATCTTTCCGTTTGACATATTCATACATGAATCTTATAATGGATTTAATTGACGATTGCCCGTACTTCTTCGATATCAAGTTGTACGCAATCACGCACTAGACGATCCCTACCTTTCCAATAGTCGCCGCTTAAGTTCGGGAGGATAAGCGACGTATATGTAACCGTCCGGTGCATCGGCGCTCGCCGGAGACACATCGATCTCCGATTTTCCTCTTATGTCATCCTTTCCGTCGCCATAGCAATTGGAATCGCGGGAGGATGAGCCTGCGTGATCATTACGGACATTATAATGGGACTCTCTTGAAGCGCCATTGCCTCTACTTTCCTCCGCGGAACTGAAAAACCCAAGACGTTATTCTGTTCTGCTGCTGCTGTATCGCGCTATCCTATTGTACATTAGTCGCGTCTATTTACTTGAATAAAACCCAGATGACGTAATAGCAGACGAACATCCCGAATAGGAGAATCAGGAGGAACGTTATCAACAGGTACCAAGGAGTGTGACGCTGTCTTTTGGTGTCTTCCCAATATCGGTCGCAACTCAAGTACCAACAGATGGCTCTGTTCATTTCGGCTAATAAAATTGACTAGTGAGTACATATTTTGATGCTGCCGATAAACAGTGAAACTCGCAAGTACCTTCGATATCTTGAAAATCTCGCAAGGACAGATTGGTGAGTAAGCCCGCGATGCAGTCACGAACTAGGACCTGGAAGGAAGATCAATGAGAACTAATGGTCACACCTGGAGCACCTGAGATTGATTCTAACGGACATAATCGCGTAAGGACTTACTTCGCACTGGACTTTCAGTTTCTGTAAATCCTCCTGCTTGCAGTTTGACTTGAGCTTTCGCAACTCGAAGGCCTTGTCACGCATTTTACGATCAGAACCAGGGGGCAGCGCCGCCTCCACCAGGCTGTCATCGTCTTCGGCATAGAGATCACCATCGTCCTCGTCCTCGTCCTCGTCCTGGTCCTGGTCCTTGTAACTTGCGTCCGCGTCACCATCTTCGCCGTTACCATCGCCATCGTCATTGTCGCAGGCGTCGCTGCTCTTGTTGTCCGAACCGGTGATCCCTCGGCGATATCCGCCGTCGAGCGAGGAGCCGCCCTGGCAGTACTGCTGAAAGCTCTCGTGAGCCGAGCCGTCGTCCCCTGATATATAGAGACTGTCGCGATAGGTTTTGGCCAGGTCGCGCGACTCGATGGGCGCTGCGACGGAGGTGCGCTGGCTCGAGCTCTCCTTCCACACTTGAATGTCCGTGTTGAGAGGGCCGGAGTCCTCGGCAAGGGAGCTCTCAAAGTCCCGCGTGCCAAACACGTCGCACCTCATGATGTCGCAGTAATCAGCAAGGCACACGGCGTCCTCGGCCTTCCGTTACATGATCATGTAACGTGTCATGTATCAGAGCACAATGGTGCAGCACCATAGAAATAGGAAGGGGGCCACTCACCGTATTGACATTACTTTTGTGTCTGTTATCGAAGTGAGCGTCCAGGTGCTTCTCCGCGTAGAAGGACTTGCCGCACAGGCCACAGGTCCATTGAGACGGCCTGTGTTGATGCTTTGCAGCCTGCTGGGGATAAAAGACGTCGCGGCTCTTGTGAAAAGGACATTCCAAAGGCAGTTCCACCTGATACTTTCTCAGGATTGGTATCCACTTCTGAAAGATTGACCGTCAGTCATGATAATATATTTTTTATTTTCTGTTTTCGTCTATCCGTTAGTGCGCCCCCGTGCACCGTGCTTCCCCCGCATCACTCGTGATTGACTTACCTTTTGGACTATCCTCCTCACGACCGAGGCCCGATCCCGATGGCATGATATCTTGAAGACGCTTGGTCCTGGCCAGGGTATCACGGACAATAGCAGCACGGCCAAGATCTGCACTCCAGATAATGAAACTAGTATAGATCACATAATACTACATGTCCCGCTTCGTCCTCGATACACCGTACTCTGTATATTGATTATTCCGAGTTTCCGACAGACGATTGCGGAGCGGCTGGTATCCTGCACTGCGTACGTAACGCGATCTATGGAACAGCACTCTCGCGTACCTGATATTTCGACTGTTTACGCGGTGCAGGTGCTCGCCGTGTCGTACGCGTCAAATAATAGAGTGCTCTTTCAGGATGCAATAATAATTACCTCGAAGTAAAGGGGTTGGGTCTTCATTCATAGCCTAATATTCCTCGCTAAAGTGATTCACGCAAAGGGCACGCTCGCAAGCTTTATTTTTTCAGAGGTCCGCGCTGACCTGCGCCTCCAGACGCTACGAAAAATGTGGTGGACGACTAAGGACGTCAGAGACGTGTCGGCGTCGTCGCTCTACGAATTTTCACGGAGGCTCATCGATGATGGCGCGCAACCGCACATGAAAATGAGAACGTGCGAGTCCTGGCGCGATTTCATTGCAATATCATATAGCGTTGTGTGTATGTATTGTAGATCATACCATATGGTAGGTCAAGCCAAAGCAACAATCTGTAGTACAATAACGTCCATCATTCTTTTCTCTGACGGCTGGTAGCGAGAATTCGCAACAAGCATTCAAGAATGCTCCTTAAATGATTCGCTTCTTGTATAATAACGATGCGATTGGTTAACTGTATTTCTCAATGTTTGTATCATCCTTCCACACTGCATTTTTCTACTACGTGTTTCACCTGGAACTTATAAATACCATGCACAATCGGTTGAAAAGGCATTATCGGATCATGGAGTTATTATCACGCTAATGCTCAAAACTTATGGTCGCTTATTTATGCTCGTCGAAGCTTGCCCCTGAGGTATGTGCGTATGAATGGCTTTGTCTTTAGACGAGAAATAGTCGTAGAAGATAAAATGTTGCGAAAAAGAAATTAAGGATTTTCTGCGCTTGCTAGTGGTCATTATTCTTTTTCTTCTTCTTCTTCTTTATGTTATTAATGTCATTATTCAATGGCGTAGGTCTTACTTATTGAATATTCAAATTGTACTGGAGCAAATTTCCAAATGGGACAGTATCGTGTATCTCGACTGAACTCAAAAAAACAGGGTCCAGTGACATTCGCCAAACGTGCGTTAGAACATAAACTGTCGACCAATGGTACAATGCGTATATAGGAATTTACCTTGTGCTATTGGTCGAGAGTTGCGTTAAAATTCATGGTTGACGATGTGACTGTGCCCTAAACCATTGGTTCCCTTGAAAATCTTCCGTTGGAGCTGACCAATAGTAATGCTTTATTCAGCACGCTACAGAAATGCCGATTCTTTGCTCATGTCACCGTCCTTGGAATCAGATTGGAATAGTAGTCATCTGCAGTGTCTACAGTGGTCTACAGTCGTCGCAGCTCGAAGCTAGTAGCTTCGTTGGCCGTATTAGCAGTTGTTAGTTCGTGACGGAAGGCACAGTAGTCAAATAAGTGTAGCTTGTCTGGTAGCTTGTCGAAGCTGCTTAGTGTAGCTTGGTGTACCTGATGAAGCCAGGTGAAGCTCAGATAGTGTACGGATTGCAGAGCAGTGTACGGCGTGTAGAGTGCTCTTTAGTTTACACTGTTTATGAGCTGCATGAAACTTCTATTTTTCAAGAATCTCATTGAATACAAGAGGATTGGTAATGCACGCGAATACCTCGCTTAGACGATAGTGTTGACGAGAAAGCGGACCGTCGCCCTCAAACAGATTCAGACGTTTCTTTTTATTGAAACCCTCTGATCGCACCTCGAACGCTAAGAAAATGTCTTTGCCCGGTGTTGATGCTACAGTTAAGTCTCAACTGAAGAATGAGGAACTTCCAGACGGTGAGCCAAAGCATGTTGACAGTAGATTCAGCAGAGTTTCCGACGGGGAGAAATCGAAATTGCCGAAAAACGAAGAAAGGACATCCGAAGAGGAAGGAAAGCCTGACACTCGTAAATCGAAGCTGTCCTCTGCATCAGACGTTGCAAAGATCAGCAAGAGCGACACTGGACAGGACGGAGTAATTGTAAAATGACAAGAGTGAAAAAAACATTTATATTGATGTACTTTTTCTTAAAAGACATTTGTCTCTTGCAGAATTCCAGTACACCGTCGGACCTTTCCACTGGAGCTAATAGAGAACAAGCAAAAACTGATAGCAGTATGGACAACACAGCTTTAGTGGCTGAACATTACAATTCCCTCGAAGAGAAAGGACTTTCTCAAAGATCTCAGAGTCGCATAATATTTATGAGAAATTTTAACAACTGGATTAAGAGCATGCTCATAAGTATGATTCATCTGTGATAGAATCAACAAATCCATATTCCCGATAGTACATTTTGCTTATATTGTTTCCTACTTGTTTCTCTTTTCTCTGAAATTACAGACGAATACCTTGGAAAGGTACGTCAGGATAAAAGTCATGGTGCCCCTTTGAAGGTCCTGGATATGTGCTGCGGAAAGGGAGGAGATCTGCTCAAGTGGAGAAAGGCAAACATAACACATTTAATCTGTGCCGACATAGCAGAATTATCTGTTGAACAATGCCAGACAAGATATAATGACCTGGTTGGTAGGAACACCAGTGACCGTGGATTTGCTCCCGTATTTACAGCCGAATTTATAACTGCTGACTGTACAAAGGTATCTATACATGGAGTGTTTCTATGCAGGCACGGTATATCTGTGTTCCGTTCAGAGTTTTTCTATACGCAAAATTGATGCTGCCCAACATTTTGCATGAGGATGGAGATCACAGCCCGCTAGTTATCGTCAGAGATTTATCGTCCTGCTTGAAATGCTCCTCAATATCTAAAATCCACTTGGCAATGGAAAGCCGTGATAAAGAGGTGTTTCAGGTTCGTCTACGAGAAAAGTACAAAGATGCCAGCGTGCAACTTGATTTCGTCAGCTGCCAATTTGCGTTCCATTACAGTTTTGAGAGTCTTCAACAAGCTGAGTGTATGCTGAGAAACGCGAGCGAGAGTCTCAGGCCTGGAGGTTACTTCATAGGAACGATACCAGACGCGTACGATTTGGTGTATGTTTTATGGTATCCTAACTCTTTTGACTTTAATATGAGAGCAGCGCCATTAAGTGTATTTGATAATCAACAGTTCTCGATGGCAAAAGTGCGAAGGCAACAAGTTCGGCAACGACGTGTATAGCGTCGAGTTTCAATGCGAGGAGAAGACTAAGCCACCATTATTCGGTGCCAAGTATAATTTCCATTTGGAAGGTGTAGTCGATTGCCCGGAATTTCTCGTGCACGTACCCACCCTCTGTAAATTAGCTGGAAAATTTGGCCTTGAATTAACCATGTTTGACAGGTGCATATTATCCTAGCCCTTTCTACGAATTTATAATAATGCTTATATCGGTTTTTGTAGATTTGAAAACTTTTACGAGCGGATGAAAGACGAAGGCAGATCGCTTCTCGGTAAGATGCAAGCTCTGGAGACGTATCCACCGTATCACGAAGCTCCTCTGCTTGGTCAAAACCCACAGGATTATCAGCACGCGATTCAGTATATGCAAAATTCGACGGGTCATCGCAAAATTGGTACGCTCTCTCAATCGGAGTGGGAAGCCACCTGTAAGTATTCAATCGTAAAATTTCGTAGGTGCCAAATCGTTCTGTGACATGTCATGCAGATAATTGTCTATTTTTTAAAGCTCTTTATGCCGTGTTTGCCTTTCAAAAAATGAGAACTACGTGGAACGCGGATGGGAAGCCGGAATACGTGAAGCTGTGAAGCCCTAAAAAGATGATCACTTTTGTGAGTGTATGTGCGCGTGCGCGCGCGCGCATGGATGTGTGTGTCATGAACGAGAGAAAAAGGGAGAGAAAGAGAGAAGAAACGGGGAATCATGGGGAGAGGGAGCCCCATGGGACTAGTAACACGCGCTGTGAAAGCAAAGTGTACCTATCATGTGCGGTCGTGAATTTTAAATTGTACAGACTATTTTGTTACTGTAAGAGTTCATAGACAATTAAATATAGTATATATTAAGAATCAACCGGATTTTTACAGAACAAATTTTACTTTATTTGTTTATGTCATTTACCATTTTTTTCTTTCACAATAGTTCAATTCAAAATCGTTACATCATTTGACGTCTCTGCATACGATTATTAATGGTGCCCATAAGTAACGACGACAGAACATTTTCGGTCCGACAAACTATGTATGAAAAAATAAAATTACTACAATTTTTCAATACAATCTATATACGGTGTAAATTAATGATACTGTGCTTTATCAGGACGCATCGTTTCGCAGGTGAATCCATTGCCTACAGGTTTTGGCATCCTGAATCGTTGTTTCGGTAACGAAATTCTTGCATCATCATTCATTCCATTATCCTCAAAGCAATGTATCCTTCTCAACGAATGCTATAAGAGCTCAGTAATCTAATGTTTATCTGGATTTGTACGCACATCGACTTTCAACGACGCTTACTTCCTTTCAAGTCTTTCCAGTTGGAATCATTGATTAACAGTATTCTCATTTCGCGCTACCTTTTTATGATTGAAGGGGCGGCATTTTGTGAACATTAAGAGTTTTACTTATTATACGCAGAAAGTGACAAAAGTTGGTAGAACGTTTAAAGCAAATATCGTGTTATGGATGCTGGATGCTCCGACTGACTTTTGGTTATTTATATTGTACATATAGAGTCGTAGAGGACTTTCTTACGCGAGATCATTTGTGTTAGAATTATGCACACATCGTATTTTAATTTATCTATCTTAAACTCTTCAATAAAATTCATGGTTCTTTAACGAAAGGTTTTTATTAACGAAAGTAGTAAATAGTAAAATTTTTACAAAGATTTTTTTCCTTAAGCGGAGTCGAGAATACATTTTCGACTCGGATGTCTTCTTCAAGTTTTGGATTAATCCTTGCAGGCTGATGTCGAAATCAATGTAAATCTTGTGGAATTTGTCCCTAACATTGCTAAGAAAAAGAGTCTCTGTGAAAATCATGATATTTACATGATTTTCGTTAATATTTTATTCGCATGATAATGAGGGGACATCAGTGCCTGCTTTGATCTTTTTCTCGACATGCATTCGACAGCGACAGACTGATACTCTCTCGAGTACAGGAGTAAGACAATTGAACAATCCTAGGACAGACGCCACATGAGATGCCAGAAGACGCAAAGCTACGCTGCACGGCGGTGCGCGCGGAAGAAATTTAGCGGTGAATACAAGGAGTACGAGAAAAACAGGAAGCCAGAGTGGGCGGAGCAATAGCGGACATGCGCACTCGTGCTTTTCTGGCACTTAGACGGTCGAGCGAGCGTTCTGCAGTCTTGCGGAGAAGCGAGCGAAGTAACTGGTGTGCGTGTCCTCCTCGGTGGTTCTCGGTGTTAGCTGTTAGCTCTCACTGCCGGAGTCTATCAGTTACGGTCATACGTAGGAAATGGAGCTCGAACAGGCCGTTCCGCGGCCAAATTCCGAGACGGTAAGTGGATATTTACGACGTATTTGCGATGGCGCGTCTGCCTAGGTACTCAGTTTTTTGAAAAACCACGACATTCGGGCACTTTCCTCTTGGTAAGTGCTTCGGGCAGGGACGCGAAATTTTTCTAAGTCCCAAAATGGCGTCTGCGGCTAAGTCCCTACGTAGCCTTCGGAACACGATGCAACTTGTGGGCTCTGTGACCTAGAATTTAACAGGCAACCTTCATCAGACGGTCACATATGTTTCCCTCTGTATTTATGCCTCTGTCTGTCTACTTTCTTTTTTTAGGAAAAGCGGGCTAAGGAGAACAGCAGTGCAGCCGGGAATCATGGAGGTAAGCCGATAGCACTTAGGCATTCGGACTTCGGTTAAAGGTAGAAGCTATGCTCGAAAGTGTAAGTCCGCCACGCAGAGTCTGTTCACGATGAGATCAATGTTTATGCAGGAAGGTCGAGAAAAGCTTGAGACACGTGTTACAACCTTAATGATGAAGTCTGCCTTCCGGATTTTCTTTACTTTTTCATTCTTCCCCCTCCTGCTTTTTTCTTTTTTTTCATTTCTCTCTTGATGCCTTCTCGTCGAGACGCATTCCCCGATGATTCTTTTGGTTCTCTTTTTGACGAGTTGATTTATCGTTACACGAGTTTCATACATTTTACACGAATGGTCTGATATACCGATAAGTACTTATGGTTTTTCATGCTCAACGAGTGATTCTGCTATGCTGTTCGAGCCGAATAAACAGAGTCAGCCAGATAGAGAGAGAATTAATTTTTTTGTTTTCACTTCGAAATAAATTCATTTTGGCAGTTGACAGTCGACTGGATAGTTCTAATTCTAATAGTACTGTAAATGTATTCCGACATAAGACTATTTTTGAGAACCCGTTTCTCGATTGCTTGCAATCTAAATAGCGCCTCCAAAAGATTACATAGATCTCGCGCTATGTCTACATATATTATATGTTTTCGCAAAATTTTACACAGCTGTCATCTCCTTTTCGGAATACAGATTTAAATCTACCCTAGAAGCCTACTTTTCCTTTATCCCTGATTTTGAAAAACTACTTCACGATTACTGTCGTATACGTACGGCTAGTTTTATGAAGTTCTCATGCATTTTACAGATTACAGAGATATTACAAGATGCTCTGCATTCAAATGACATGAAAATTCTAATGACGTACTTTATCTTGTAATATTGATCTAAAATCTTAATGCTGACTATTACGTAGTGATAATAATGATGTTGTACGAGTGACAAATAAATACATAATTTGTCCCAGATGCTCACATGAATGGCATGTCCAATGGGTTCGATAGAAGGAAGGAGCACAGATCAGAGCATAGGGACAAGGAAAAGGAACGCTCCCATAAGTCTGAACATAAAGAGAAAGACAGGAGTAAAGACAAGGAAAAGAGTCATAAGAGTGAGCACCGCGACAAGGACCGGCATAAACACAGTTCTACCTCCAATTCCACCAAGGATAAGGATAAGCATGGTAGCAGCAGCAGTAGCAAAGATAAGGAGAAAAAGAGTAGCGGTTCATCCAGCAAAGATAGAGATCATAAGAGCTCCAGTAGCTCATCGGGAAAAGATAGGGATAAAGATAAAATCAAGGATCGAGATCATCATCACAAGTCAAGCTCCAGTTCAAAGGATAAGGATAAGTAAGGCAAATTTCTATATTTATTAGAAGAATCGAGGAGTATATGCAGCTATATAATGTACTTTTTGAATTTCAGGCATCATAGCAGCTCCAAAGACAAAGAGAGCTCTGGTAAGGACAAAGAGCGAAGCAAAGAGAAAGAAAAGCATAAACACAGTTCTTCGAGCTCAAGCTCGCGCGACAAGGAAAAGGACAAGAGCATATCGAAGGATAAAGACAAGGATCGTAAACACCCATCTGAAAAGGACAAAGACAGACACAGCTTGTCTCATTCCTCTTCTGACAAGGAGAAGCATCGATCGTCGGAAAAGGATAAGCATGGCTCCTCTGATAAAGATAAACATCGGCACGATAAGGACAGGGATCGTCATCGACACGATAAAGAAAAATGTAGGATATTCGAAAAATACGTAAATTATGCACTAACGATAACTCATGTTGGTATCAATGTCTTTTTACGAAAATTTGCAGCAAGGCATCGCGATGATAAGGATAGAAAGGACAAAATGAAAGAGGAACCGCGGATAAAGGACGAACCAGAAATTAAGACTGATCCTGAGAGACAGGAATTTGAACATAACGAAGGATTCAAACGTGAATTCAAGGAGGTACGTTTTGAAAGGCTTTCTCAAGAATCAGTCGTAAAAGTAAATGCCATGTTTCGATTGTATTAACAGGATCCCGAGGACGAGGATGATAGTGGAGGTGAGCAGCCTCTTTACATTAAGGAGGAGGAAGACGAGGAAGAGGGCCCATCTCAGGAAGTCGAAGATGCTAGTTTGGATTCAACCGATCTTAATGATACGCGTCTCTCCGAGCTTCACAATACCACGCTCAAATCAGAGAAAGACTCAGACGAGGACATGCCGTTGGTACGCAAATTCATAATGTACATTCTTTCAGATCTTGCGTGCCTGCAGTTGCGTAGGCACCAAGCAGTGGTAGACGCAGATAGCTGCGTAGGAATGCTTATCGAACAATCTTCACATCAATGGTCATTCTTTTATTCTGGCCATCGTTATTATTTCTGTATTTTGATGTCAAACTGTCCACATAAATTTGACGGTATCGAATTTCTTGTAACTTTCTGTCCGCGTACGATATCAATGCGCAGTGCAAGTACCGATTTTATTTTCATAATAAATATAACGAAATGGACGGTGACGCTAGGTACAGCTTAAATTCTTCAAAATTGTCCAACGACGAAGTCACAAAATCCTTTCTCTCCACTATAGTTTCTACAAGTTTTTGTAATTCTCGTGACATCGAAAACTATATTCAGGAACATGATCGCGCTATTTTGGTTCGTAGCAACTGCGCTCGAACGAAATACTTCATTATTTATTGACATAACATAACCAAAACTTTCTGAAACAGTACGCGAGAACATCTATGTCGTCGCCGACAATCAAGAGGAAAGTCGAGTCGACAGATGAGGAAGAAGATTTACCTTTGTCATCGCGCAAGAAACCCAAGAAGGAAAATATGAAGAAGAAGAAGAAGCGGAAGCATGCCGATGACGAGGATGTAGAATATGAGGAGGAGGAGGAAGAAAAGGTGAGCCACTTCGTTAGTTTAGTATAACCTCCATCCTTGTTTTTTTTTCCTACAATACCATGTCATTAAGATGAGAAGCTCGACTCGGAGACTTACCGATGGTACAACGGAAACGAGAAATAAGAAGAAAAAAGAAAGAATCCTAGATCCATAAAAGAGTGCTGTCTGATTTTAAGTAAATTGTCAAGATAAGGAGGATAATTCCTGTCACGCGATGCTTGAAATGACATCTCTTATTTGGAAATTACAATAATCGACGAGGAAGGAAGGACTTGGTACGATCTTTAATTTCTCTTTTTTTTTTAGAAGCCCAAGAAGAAAAGTTCGAAGGGCGTCAAAACAGAGAACACTCCAAGCCCCAGAAAAAAGAAGAAGGAAGAAGAAGCACAAGATGTTTGGAAATGGTAAGTGTTAAAGGCATTGAGGCATATTGGTTCAAGTCCCTTTGTGAAAGAAGTGGCAGTGTTGGCCCATTTTCAAAAGTGGGTAATCGGTTTGTTACTATCGCATAGAATCTGTCGCCAGAATTGTTTTCGCATCACTTTGTAATTTATCAACTATTTTGTATAAATCATTGATAATTATGAGTGACTGACCACAAATCTTGAGAACGGTGATGTATACCGCGTTTAGTCATATGTTATGTACTGAAATGAAAATATTTGTGATTGTTCGATTGTGACACAATGAATTGTCAGTCATGTAGCATATGTCTGAATTTTTATGATTTTATTAACATATAATCAGTTACATATTTCCGGATAGGCGAGTTAACATCACTCTTGTTCTAAGTATACTTTTCATAGAATATTCTTTTGACATGTATAATATCAGCAATCTGTCCGTGTTTCGGAGACAATTCTTACACATGAAAATAGCAGCAAACTGCAGCAAAATGATGACAATATTCCCCATGCCCTTTAAGGAGATTCAGTGATAGCACGTGACACAAGATAAAATTCTCCATTTGTTGTATGGAATAATGTATAACAAAATCTTTGCCTATGCAAAATTTTAATATGATTTACCGTATAGTTTATGAGATATAGAAAGTCTAAAAGTTAATTTTCACTATATAGATATATTTAACCTATAAAAATGAATAACTTTATGTTTGGTACAGTATAATGTAATGATTTTTTACTCAAATTATCATGGTTATCTTATATTTTCACTCATTTATTTTTTAATCAAAGATCATGGAATTTTTTTCACTATTTGTTTAACCCTTGCTTCCCTCGTACTATTATAATTATCATTACTGAACCACCTTAATTCGCAAAATCATTCAATCTTCGTTATACTTATATCTCTAGATAATTCATAGATGATATACCCATCAGAGATAACCACGTGGTTATATAACCTAACCTAACCAAACTGTGACCCTAACCTAATCAATCCTCGTAAAACTTTTCGTACCTCCTCTATGTTTGTAGTCTGGAAACGACGCGGAATCATTATAATGCGATATCTTTGGATCGCTGTCGTGTCAATGATTAAAATAGAATAAGTTCATTTATGGCGGTTGTCATTGATTTTGCAATCGTCGAAATAGTTAAGAGTATTGGACGAAAGTATCAGGCTCGTAGCATTGGCACATCGATTAGGTTATGTTTCTATGAGTGTACTGATGTTCATTCGTTTAGTGGGCGTATTAAGAAAGAGTGAGCGAACGATGCTTTGAATAAGAAAGAGCTAACGAGGATGCGAGTGTCCTGAGATACGAACTATAAATAATTATACTTTCAGGTGGGAAGAGGAGAAAAAGAACGATGGTACGAAGTGGAATTTTTTGGAGCACAAGGGCCCCGTCTTCGCGCCGGCTTACGAGCCTCTACCACCCGACGTTAAGTTCCATTACAACGGCAAAGAAATTAAGTTGAGCGAGGAGGCGGAAGAGGTGGCAACATTCTACGCGCGCATGTTGGATCACGATTACACCACGAAAAAAGTGTTCAACGACAACTTCTTTCATGATTGGCGCGAAGTCATGTCCGATTCCGAACGAGCAAAAATCGTGGATCTCAGTAAGTGTAATTTTAAGGAAATGCACGCGTATTTCGTGCAAAAGAACGAGGAGCGCAAGGCCATGTCGAAGGAGGATAAAAAGAAGATAAAGGAACAAAATGAACAGATACAGAAGGAATACGGGTTTTGCACCATTGACGGACACAAGGAAAAAATTGGTAACTTCAAGATTGAACCACCAGGCTTGTTTCGAGGACGTGGCGAGCATCCAAAAATGGGAAAATTGAAGAAAAGGGTCATACCTGAAGATGTGCTCATCAATTGTTCTAAGGATTCAAAGATACCGAAGCCACCGACGGGACACAAGTGGAAAGAAATCAGGCATGATCCCAATGTGACTTGGTTGGCATCGTGGACGGAAAATATTCAAGGCCAAGTCAAGTATGTCATGTTAAATCCCTCGAGTAAGTTGAAAGGAGAGAAAGACTGGCAAAAATACGAAACGGCCCGAAAGCTGGCGAAATCGATCGACAAAATTCGTGCCGAGTATCGGGAAGACTGGAGAAGCAAGGAGATGCGAATAAGACAAAGAGCGGTTGCGTTGTATTTCATTGATAAATTGGCTCTCAGGGCTGGAAATGAGAAGGACGAAGACCAGGCAGACACAGTGGGCTGTTGTTCGTTGCGAGTGGAGCACATATCTTTACACGAGCAGAAAGACGGAAGGGAGTACGTGGTCGTATTCGATTTCCTTGGTAAAGATTCAATCAGATACTACAATGAAGTGCCTGTTGAGAAGCGCGTTTACAAGAATCTTCAACTATTCATGGAGAATAAATCGCCAAGCGACGATCTCTTCGATCGATTGAATACAACTGTCATGAACAAACATCTTAACGAGCTAATGGAGGGACTTACTGCCAAAGTCTTCAGGACGTACAACGCGTCATGGACCCTTCAACAGCAGTTGGAGAAGCTAACGAATGCCGACGACACAGTTGCAGAAAAGATTCTCTCGTACAATCGAGCGAATAGGGCTGTCGCCATACTGTGTAATCATCAACGTTCAGTGCCAAAGACACATGCGAAGTCTATGGAGAATTTAAAGGCTAAGATCGATGCCCGAAAGGAAGCTGTTGCCGAGGCCGAGATGCAAGTGAAGGATGCTAAGCGCGATGCCAAGCACGGATCGGTTAAAGAGAAATTGTACGTCATCTTGTTCATATTACTCATGGTGTTGGAAGAAGATATTTCGAGAGTGGAATAAGCATGTGAAATTCTCTGTCGATAGGCTGTACGAGAAGAAGAAGAAGCAACTGGATCGACTGAAGGAGCAATTAACCAAGCTTGAAGTTCAGGCCACTGACAAGGAGGAGAACAAGGAAATTGCCCTGGGAACATCCAAGCTGAATTACCTCGATCCGCGTATCTCCGTTGCATGGTCAGTACGCACATGTTTCTTTACGTTTTCTTTTTTTTTTTTTTTTAATATAAAAAGTTTATAACAAATAACGAGCCATCACGATATGGATGAACGTTTCTCATCGTCTATGCAGGTGCAAGAAGTACGATGTGCCGATTGAGAAGATATACAACAAGACCCAGCGAGACAAATTTAGGTGGGCGATAGACATGGCGGGACCCGACTACGTATTTTAACCCCCCCGAACGTAATTCTTTTTGTTACATTACCTTGATCCACCCGTCTCTCATCTCTCCGCCGATTAGTGAATTTTACTTTTAACACAGAGAGAGTCGCGACAGGAGACTGTTTTTCTCCCCTTTCTTCTTAATTTTTTTTTCCTTTTTCTTTTCCTTTTACACCCGAGCTCGGGACTCATTGATGGTAACAAAGGAAGAAACATAAAGAAAAGAGAGGAGGAAGAAACTAAAGTGTGTACGTATTTTAAACTGACAGGCGGTGTGTACTGACTTTCCGTTCAAGAGACTTTATATCGAATGTAATTAGTATTTCCAATCGTGAATAATTCATTAGGCAATCGTGTTGCACAGAAATTCCAGTGATGGATTCTTCCGCGCAGGGCACAATAGAAAAATGAAATTGGCCGGCACGGATATTCAGGTTAGATTTGACAATTTTTAAGTAATAAGTAACGGGATGAAACCTTAATCAGATTAGATAGAGAATCCTCATGAGTGTGAATTGTATGAGAATAGCGTTGTAAATAGAAAAATTGAAGGTGAGACTCATTTGCTCTGCCTTGCGTAGAGGCTCGCCGACCCTGTCGATAAGTCATGGCGTACCGAGACGATCGTTCGTTCGATGTATACAGACTCCGCGTGCTTTAACTTATTTAATTTAATTGGATATTGTGACTTAATGACATATGGACGTGAATAATTGCCACGTGTTTAGGGTATCCAACGGGGCTGTTACATTTCGATGGGTAATTTTCCCTTCCTTTGTCTCGGTAATACCTGGCCTTCAAACGTTAAAGAATTACGGGGTTATCCAAAGATAACTCCTCGAAGAAACAGGCTACCACTCGTTGCGATTTCAATCTTATAGGAATCTAATTTTAGATTAAACTCACGTGAATGGAGATATGTGCTTTTAATCGTCCGTCGTGTAAGTACGTCACTCGCAAACGCACGTTACTAGCAATTATGTCAATGATGCGTTTCCGCAAGGATCAGTGTGTCCGAGGGATACATACAATGAAAAGTTGTAATAAATATTGGTTGGTACGTCTCATCGTAATCACGTTACTCTCTTTCGTTATTGCATGATATCGTGAAATGATGAATGACACGGCGGGATACTCCGATGTTTTTTTTTCGCGTTGGCAAAATTTTAAGCCACGATGTCATTTTACATGGCGCGCATTCGGATAATTCTTGCAGACGATGCGGAAGCTCTTATCACCGATGGCGCTACCGTATGTCGTCGCTTATTTCACTTTTCACTTTCTGTGCAAGAAATTTATAGAAATAATTTGACCGCGTGGGTCGTTTCGTAGCCATGGAAGCACAGCGGCAGAGTAATGTGTTCATCCTGAAATTGTGTGCTACGCGTGACAGGAGTATCCTGCGTTGATATTCAGAGTCCAGCTATCGACAGTATATTTAACCTCGGAATGACAATTATTCTGATACACTTATATCGTATGCACATAGGTATAAAAAATACATTTACACGGATAATTATATATAAATATATATTTAATAAAAAGAGGGAGCGATGCTAAAGTTAAAATTAATCTATAACAATAAAATGGAACGGTGGTTCTCGATGTATCATTGACAAGTGTGCGGAAAATGGAAGAAATTCATCTGGGGGTGGAGATGGTTATTCTCAAACAAGCTACGTGATAGTACACACAGTAATGTAACGTAACGTAGCGTGCGTGCGTCTGTTTCTACATGTTTTAATGGTCGCTAATACATGTTAACTTTGAGAAAACAGTAAGAAAAAACAATAAATTGCATTAATGGCACGAAAATCACTGTTCCGCTCGACTGCCAATTCGTAGATGATTCATCTAACAGTTAATCCGCCTGGCAAACTTTAGCAGGTCGGTTTCTCAAACTTATATGTGTATCACCTAGGTATTTTAGATTTTTATTAAAAACAAAAAAAAAAGTCTTAAGGAAGCATTTACATCGGCCAGACATTCAATGTCTCGCATATGAAATTTTCTGTACCTTAAGTGTATTTCGTTAGAGTGCACGGCAAACGGTGTTTGAAATAATTATTATCTGATGTATTATTGTGTGGCGGTATTATCAAGATATAGTTAAGCGCAAGAATTGAAACGAATATACGTGGAATACGAAGAGACGAGTAGGAGAAGAAGAAGAAGAAGTGAAGAAGGAAGCCGTGCACGTTCAGCGACCGTACAAGAACAGTGTCAAGAAACGACGATATCTCTAGATGTTCACGAACATTATAATTCTATTAGTGGTTAGAATATTAGTTGTTGGGCAAATCAGAGAGAAAACTGTGATGCGCAGCGCAGAGTTTGTTCGTCATAGCCGAACGGCTGACGGTGCGATGCGTTTATGTAGTTCCAACGCGCAACGAGCAACGAATTCTGAGCCGGCTGTCGTGTGTGTTTATATTAGGGTCGTTCAAAAGAAAAGTTACGACCAATAAAGCCATAAGGCAGCACCAGCAGCAGCAGCAGTAGAGTTTAGTTCAGATTAGTCGTGAACTGCAGCGGTAGATTTGTAAAAGCAATGTTGAATTGAGCGTCGTACGACGCAGAGCTCCGGCCTTCCGTTATTATTTTGCGTGTACACCTGACGTTTAAACGTTTTTAACAATTTGCAATTATTTGTCTTATCGCGTACGGACTATCTCGTTCGCCGGTGCACAAACTGTGCCTGCACAAAACTTCTCGAAATGCGTGTGTTTTTTGGGGACAATGTCGTTTGTGTACAGTACAGGAATAAGAATAAAACAAAAGAAATACTTAGTACAGAATCGAACTTGTGTATTTAATTGAATCAACACCATTCTCTCTTCTGTGACATGTTCCTCGGAATAATCTGCCGCATCTCTCTCTCTCTCTCTCTCTCTCTCTCTCGCTGTGTGCTTGTATAAGCGGCAGGTACTTTTCTTCCAGTCCAATCAAGATCTTTCCCCATTATTCGCTGGACTCGTCTACGTTCACGAGTCTACGATTGAACGTTAGAGCGTTGGCGTATGTGGCGTTAGACGGTATAGGAATAAATTATCGAAACGTTTCGCCTATACTTCTGGTAATGATTGTAATAATCGTAATAATAGTGGTAATCGGCGTGTAATAATAAAAATAGCGTAATGTTAATAAATATTAAATAATGTAAAAACTCTAACAAACATAACAGATCGTAAAGATAATAAGTTTAAGAAAGCTTCATTCCGTGACATAGGGCAAAGGTTCTCTTAAGTATCAAGTGTGCATGAATTATGTGTGCGCTTAGGTGTCGTTAGATCTAGAGCAGAGTGCAGCTAATATATATTGGGAGGGGGAATTCCTGAAGAATGTCACGGAATGAATAACAAATAGTTGGAGAAAAAGCGTAAAAGAAGTCGAAGGAATAAATAGATTACAAAAAGACGAAAACCCATTACGACCGCGAAAAAAGTTACAATCAATTTTTAAATACTTGAGCGCTACGCAAGTAATCTCTGATCCCTAGTTTTACGATAGTTCGGGGTATCTGTGTAGAGAACGTGTCTTCCGTCAATAATGAAATCACCTAGAGACGGATAATGAATTTTTACGATGCATTAAATTTGCCAGTTTAATCTTTACTCGCGTTAAAAAGTGTTTATCTGCGTTGAAAAATTGGAGGAAGGCCTCCGACGAGTGCAGACCGATGCCTCGGAGAAAAGGAAAGAATCGACTCACGGGACAATACATCACAATACACATTGTATAGTTAAGTATATGTATAGGCACTTGGGACTTGCAAGGAGACAGATAGAATCGATCGAGAGTGATTTATCACAACAGCAAACACAAAGTAACGAGTATTGTGACGTGGGATTTTTGGACTCACGGTGACATGGCGATTCCAGCTACCAATTCGGATAACGTTTTAGCTTTCTGGTTCCCTTCGAGTCCGCCACCCTGCTTACAAGTTACGCTCCCGGATTGATTAGTATAACAGTTATGCGAATGCTCTCGAAACTTTTGTTATTTGATTGAGGTCGAGGTGCTCGAGAATCTGCCGTGAAGAGATAGACTCACGAAGTACCGAGTTGCCCGGCAGAAATACGCCCTGTGTCCGACGGAGACGTCTTGACGAACCGACGGAGGTCCGGATCAGGTACCGGCGCCCCTTTAGAGATAGATGTAGTTCTGGTACGATTAAAGTCAGGGGAGCTAAAGATTAGCGGTCTGGCTGTCGGCCGACGTCCTGGGGAAGCGGCGCCCGTGGAGGATATCCCGGTTTGCTACGTACCGATTCGCTAAGGAACGCTCTTGATTTAATTTAAAGGAACGACTCGAGGAAAAGGACAAGAGTAATCAGATGATTAGTTCTCGAATTTGGCATTTGGCTATTGTCAAAGCAGTCTGTCTCGGAGCGCCGACCGAGGTGTCACGAGCTGGCTCGCGTTCCCGCGCTGTCTGCCGATAGTTTTTCTTTACGGTATCGAAAGCTCTCGCTACTGTAGTTCTCGCGTTACTCTCGCTATATCCAGAATCTGCGTGTACTATAGTGCAGTGTCCACCGGAGTGTTTCTCGGAATTCATACGGATTAGCTGAACCAGCTCCGGTGAGGACTCCAAATTTATTAATTGGTGGAGGGCTCCCGATCTTATAGCTTCCGATTAATTTTCTTACAATCTCGATCAATTGCTCTCTGTTTCCGGCACTATTTACCTGACGCTTACTTCCTCCGACCCTCTCTCTACCTTTGTCACATCCTAGCAGCCTGAGCGCTCGTGCAACCAGTTTGCTGATTTTACGCGACCCCAAAAATCTACAGGATCCGTTTAGGCTACCGTCGTCTCTTCTTATGGGTTCCGTGAGAGTTCTCGTTTTTCCGGAATTCAGTCCTTTGCACCTCAACTTCCAGGACATAGCGGCTCGTCAGTTCTCGATGAAATAAGAATTGGCTGGCGGCCGCCTGGCATGCGGATGCATGGACGAAGGGTGGACAGCCGAAGGTCGTAGGTTAGCTCTCGGATTTACGTTAGCGGTGTCGAGTCAAGAAAATACATTACAGTATATCAATATATCAGCGCTGTTAAAATTTCCTACTTTCTAATATGCTATGGTTATAAAACACTTGACGTATCGTTAGATTATACGTCCCATCAATGGGTAGGATATTGCAAGATTGCTTTGTGATTGCGGGCATACGATCGCGCATGCTACAAAATTACATGTGATGGATTGTCCTCACAAGTGGGCAACAAATCCCTAACATATGCATTTGAGCATGCAGGACGGAGCTATTCTGCAAAAGATGTGCCTCGGCCTGCTCGATTACAGTGAATATAACAGTATACTATGCTTAAATGTACAAAATATATCTGTTTATTCGGCCGAAACGTACCACCTGAACATAGTTTTGCCATAGGAATCAAATGGGCGCTCTAACTTCAGGTGGTGCGCCTTTTGGCCTGAACAACCCGGTAGAATCACGTTGTCAATAGTTTTTGGCATTAGTCGGTATAGTCGCAATTTGGTTATATCGCGTCACGAATGAACAGTTGTCCCAACAACAATAGAAGTAGAAATGGTACTAGTTCCCCTTTTAAATATTTAGACTAGAGATTAAGCTAATAGAGAATTACGAATTTTACAATTCTTCTTGATATGTGTCTCTTATTGCACGCAAGTTAATTAGTTTGCGAAAAGCATCTGCGGCTAAAGATTTGATCGTACGTCGCCGTTGAACAATCTCACACTTGTAACAGAGCAATATCAGAGTGAAATTACAAAAAAGTATTTCTCTTAACGCGGAAGACATGCTACGGCCAGTTTCTATTCCAATTTGTCTATCATATGTTAACAGTTGGATCAACTATTTCTTGCGCTGATACATTTGGTTTTTCATGTACATTGTAATCAGAAGATCCACGTTGCGCTCTATACGGATCGTGATTCCGGCATTACTGGAGGTACATATAAATTGGGGTAAATGGAATATGATGCAGATGCGCATAGTGTCCGACTGTTGCATATAATGAGGAAACATGTTCTCGTGTCCGACAGGCGCAGTCAGTCAGCGTGTACCCCATAACTTTATAGAGAGATACCGAAGGATCGCAGTAATGGTGACGGAGAAGAATAAATTGACCGACAATATTCGAGAAAATAAGCGGAGCACTCTTGTACGCCGGTGGCATCACCCCTAAGCACTCGTACAAAGCATTAAGATCGTTTGCGTTGTCTATGTGAGGCGAGATGAGGAATCTCTTAAAAATAACATCTGCGAATGCCCTCTGTGGCGGAATAGTTTCAAGTGCCATGACAGTTATTAGCAATGAAAATCCCCTTTGGCACTTGGGAGCGCTCAGCGATCATCTTCGTCGTGCTCACTCGGGAAAGCATTATGCTTCTTCTTTTTCTTCCATCTTTTGTTAAGTAAAAGAGATTGATTCACACGAAGCTTCTTGTCGTAGTTCGCGAAAAAACGAGCATACAAAAAGAACACGCTTACGACTGGCCGGCGAGTAGAAGCGCGTTTTCAGAATTATTTATGATTAATTATAGGAGAAACATCCGGCGGGTTCGTTGTTCAGGACAGCTTTGAAGGCCAGAGATGATTATCGTTTTTTCCTTTCATTCGGGGTCATTTTCCGTATCGCCGATCGGGAGCACCGTTACGAGACCGGCAGCCGCCACCTTCGCCTTATATGCTTCCGGTTCGAACCAGCGAATCGGTGCCTGTTAAAGAAAAATTATATATAAAATAAAATATAAAAATGTAAAACAAAGTCGAAATTTCTTTAGGATCTAACTCTCAAGTGCTTACCTCTTCCGACTTCCTGATAAAAGTAGCATGCCTTAGTCGAGAATGAGAGCATAATATAAGAATGCAAAAATGCAAAAATGCAGCTTAGCTGTGTTGTCTTCGTACATGAGATACTTCCATTAATTCGAAAATGATTTAGCACGTGGTTGTGATGTCTCGAGATATTGTGACAAGTAAAAGAACCACACACCAGATTATGGGTTAATGAATTTCCATGAAAACATAGTGGTTTTATTGATAATTGTTGCACAATTTATCGGTTAAGGTAGTAGGCAGTGCGCTGTCAATGTGTTATTATAAGTATACGTGCCAAACCGCTGCACTAGGACTTCTTTGGTTTCGACTGGTCGACGTTAAAGCGGTATAACGAACGCACCGTTTCCTTGAACAATTCATGATTCACGTAAATTCCTTTTAGACATTCACCGTGACTATGTCTTTTATATTCGTACAATTCGAACCAAAGAAATAAAAAAAAACTAAATGAAGTAAATCATGCGTGTTTGGAATAACATTTTTTTTTCATTATCACGGTACGCGCAGATTGGAGCATACGAATTAGCACGACTTGGCGTAGATAACATTTGTGAAATTAATCTTTTCCTTGATGTCTTGCTAATCGCACGCAAGAGAGCGCACATAACGTGATGGTTCGTTCGTATGAATACGACTATACGATTAAGTTGAACGTGTTACGATAAATGCTTCATGGGAATTTACGCGCACCACAGCAACTTTAGTTAATTAATGGTTTCACTCGATAGAGAAGAGAAGAAAAACCGGGAAAAAAAAAGAAAAAAAGAAAAAAAGTTTCACGTCATATACACCACGAAATAAGTAGTGCTAGTCGTGCACAGAGTATAAACATTAATACTGAATAACATATTGAGGAATAATCGAACCGACAAGCACAGTAGAAAACAGCAAAGTAGAAAAGAACTAATGAGATGGTACCGCTCTCAGTGCTAGTCAATGATCGCGCTTTTATTGTACTTTCTTACAAATGGACTTCCGTGACGATTCTTCGAGTAAAGCGTGAAATAAAAATGTCATCATTAACATCGCAGAAGCAACTCGCGCTCGTGTGGCACGTCTAAGTGCTGTGTCTGAATATGTTTGTTGAGATTCTTGCGTGTGAAGTCTTGTTAGAGTCAGCATAATCGCCGAGGCGGTTGCGGTTAGTATTGCCATTAAAAGTGTCATAGGTCAGGTGATTAGCATTGCTGTCGCCTAAGTGTACCTTGCGAACGATGCTCGGGCATTCCTTCTGGATACGAGCCCAGTCGACAGGGGCCCGCTTAGCGTATGGTCCGGTCGAACACTGCAGCAGGAACTCATATGTGAGCTCTCTGTTTTCTGTAAAAAATAAAGTTTTCCCTACATAATGCTGTCCGTCCCGTCCTTCCTCCTTCGTTGACTTACCGGTCTCAGGAGCAGCAGGCTCTATCTCGGGATTCAGACGGCGGGGCTTGTACGTCTCTTCGCTCTCTGAAGTGGCGCCACTGTCCAAACTCAATTCTTTAGTGAGCGCGTCAGCGTTAGCCGGGGTTAACGGAGTCTGAGGCGTTGTTGGCGTAGCGGACGCAAACGAGGGCTCTTCTTCGAAGCTGAAGTATTCGACTCCACTCGCAAAGTGCTCAGAGTCCCCCGCAAAGTACTCATCTAGGACTAATTTCGCAGTCTGCAATCAATACATGGTGATATACTGATTTTAAACGAGAGCTTTCAAAGATAGCACTTTAATAAAGGTGTCACTCGCAAGTGTTATATATGTATACTGTATTTACCCGAACGAGATCCAAATTACAACCCGTGATCTTGAGTGAATGATTGCCAACTGTGACAGTGTACTTGTATTCGCCAATGCTGGCGTCGTTCGTGGAGAAGCTATGAAGTAGAGTAGAACGGAATCGGGAAGTGTGTTGCTGCTGTTGCTGAAGTCTGTTACTCTCGTCGGAGGCGCTACTGTTCAAAGAGGAGCTAGATCCACCGATACCGCCCTTCTCACCACCACCCTGCTCCAATCTCACCGGTGATGCGTTTCGCTGTATCGTGTCTTTTATCAGATCTTTCGCATAGCTGGAAATTATTCATTTTATCATTTAACCGTGAATTTTAAGTATTTTTCAGTGCTAGGAAGAAATCTGTGATCACTTGAACTCACTGTATCTTGTCCTCGGAAGTTCCCGTTATCTGGACAAGTCGTTCTTTAGCCCCAGGATTTACTGAAAGAATTCGCACATGGATTAATAAAAATGATTAGGTATTCGAAGAATGAGTTAATCACTTATTAATCACGAATTAGTCTGCAATCTCGGAAGAGCTGTAACTGGTATGTTAATGCATTAGATGCTTAAAATGGATGTTTCGTACATTATCTGAACTGTCTGTTATACGTCGACGATATGCTTAGAAAGCAACTTTCGCCAGACTGAAAAGCTGAGCTGATGATGCAAGAGAAACATTCGATACAATAAATACATTCGGTAAATACGATCAGCTAGATTTGTTTTGTGACTCGCAATGAATACGAAAAGTAGTATGAGCACGTGAAATTAATAAAAAAAAAATAAAAAAAATAAGATCCAAGTCACAGCAATACATTCCGTTCCAGTTATGTACCTTGCATCAGTTATGCGGGTCAGGGCAATATGTCAGTGGTTTAGAGAGACCGACGCATTCGAGATCACTCGGGTATCAAAACGTGTAATGCAATCATTTGGCAACTTTAAGTTAACAGTCACATTACAGCGAAAACACAGTATCCATTTAATGACCATCAGAAACGGACGGCTGGCACGTCAGATCCAAGAACTTATATCGTGAAAGCGTGCATCGTATTATATCACGGCTCACAATGCAATTGTACATCCCTGTAGTGACGTAAAGACGACTGAGAGGATTTTTATCCTTTCACTGTAACTGATCACACATGTTATAGAATATGTTAGCTGCATCATGCATGCTTCACGGTAATCAAACGAAGAACCGTCAGTTACTGCAAATAACGACATTGATCTAGAAAATTATTTTGCATTAATAGAGAGAAAGAGAGAGAGAGAGAGAGAGAGAGAGAGAGAGAGAGACAGAGGCATATACGTGTAACGCTTCAAGAATTCTATATAACACAAAAGAATACCGAGTCGTTTTCCGCGATAATCTCGTAGGTAAATTAGCTGGTGAATATAGAAATGAAGGTTTGGTCAGTCGATTAATAAATCTTGCAAAGGCACGAACACGATGCTGAGACGAATTGCTTGCGCGTGTCGTTGCTATTGTTTTACCTCGCTGGAAGGAGATGATCGTCTCGCTGAGTTCCTCGATCATGTGAACCCGTCGCCCCTTTATTCCCATCACTGTTTTTGTTGTGCAAATTAATTAACGGAATATTGGGAGAAAGAGAGAAAAAGAAATGGGAAATTTCATCGTGAGCAAATATAATGTAATCTCAGTATGATCTTTGCGGATCGTCTGCCAGTAGTGAAAGGACTTTACTTTTTATTGCTTACCTTTGCCAGAATCACTGTTACGTATCACGACCTCGTCTTTGCAATAATTCTTTCCTGGAATTCGTGTAGGTTTTGCAAATTTTCCGCTATTCTTAATGACTTCACCAGGACAAAGAACGGGTGCGATGGTAGCTATTGGCGAGGCCATGGGCATCAGAGGCGATATCAGCAAGTTGGTTTGCGTATCGGGCGTCATGATCGCTTCCCCTTGCTGTTTCGAAAAATCGATCGTACGAATTATAAAATTAAGTTATAAAAAATGAGAATTCACAGCGAATCGCGACTTACATTATCGAGATTTGAGAGCTTTTGACAATAATACGCGTCCATCGAGTCGGTATGACGCCACTGTTTGGCCCTCAATTCGATAAGTTCCAGTAAATAAACCCTAGTCGTCATGTCAAGCTTTTCGTCTTGACTCCCATTTCGGATCGCCACGAATGCTCTATCCAGCTGGTCTGTGTGGCACAAGAAAATTAATTAAGGTAACTTCGAGAGTAAGTGACTGAGGAGTGGTGTCGTTCGCAAGCTGAGTAATCTGTGCGTGGACTTGGTAACGGAGGTTTTCAAGCCCATATTATCTTGAGGGCTGCATACCTTTATAAATGGCCTCCAGCTGGTGGGCATATAACTTGAGGTGATTGCACATGGTAACCACGTTCATTTGTAGCGTTCGATCAAAGTAGCCGTTGGACAGGTGCATGGCCACGTTGTCGATCAACGAAACTATGTCTTCAACTGCGAATTTATAATAACGAGGGGTTACATCATTAACATTTAGACGTAACGTAAAAACAAAATTGATAAATCATTTCAATTGCTAACCGGTCGTGATCCGACCATCAACGGTCCAGTCGCGTTGACCGAGCTTCAGCGGCCGAGGCTTTTCGAGTTTCTTTATTGTTCTAGGTCTGTTCCCAATGGTGGCCATTGTAAACTGCTTGTAGAGGGAAAAAAATTCATTTTTTTTACTTATAACTGTTCGTAATGTCATCGACGACGTTACACGTGAAAGAGAGTTACAATCCCCGTGGAGGCTTAAGGTAGTTTCTTTTCTTCGTTTAAATTCATAGTTAGTATATAAGCGTGTATTTGAAACTTTATTAGGAATGTTAACTACATTCTTCTTTGAATAAATTCGTGCAATGTTAGGTGACGAAAACAATTTAGATATTATTGCATTCTGAGATGGATTTTTGATGCCGATCAACGAATGAGAGATTCATAAGCGATGCGACGATGAATAAAATGATGCTGGAATGAAGAACGCTCATTTCATATGCATACTGATACAAAGGATAATAGTATGAGCAAGAATTCGTAATCGATAACGCTCGTTGCGTGCTGCTAGAACGAAATTAATTCTGCGTCGTGGGTGCCTTAAAAATAGATTTAAAAAAAATGAAACTTCAGAGGCCAATCGCAAGGCCCTTTGTCCTAAGAGAACCTAGATGTCCTGCGTGCGTGTGTGTGTGTGTGCGTGCGTGCGTACGTGCGCGCACGCGTGTGTGCATACTTGAATGAACTCGTAAGATGGATTAAGACGATTATGAGAATTTGCTGACGGTTGTAACGCGCTTTAGAGAATAATGCTTTCGAATAGAAGATCATACGTACGACTTGAAGTTATGATAAAAATAATTTCCGCGGAGCCCATGTGAGAGAGCGTGTAGCAATCGGGATGATGCTGCGGGCAAGAGCACGTAAGAGAGATGGGACGCGAGTGAGAAGATTGAGAGCGGATGAGAGAGATTGTGGTATGGGATGTGTGTGCGGAGGGGGGCGGGGGGAGTAGAAGAAAAATGGAATAGAAGGGATGGGAACGGCGTGTAAGGAGGGGGGGAGGGAGATAAAAGAGAAGAAAATGAGTGCTAGAAAAGTATAATGAAGCGAGAAAGAGAGAGAGGGAGAAGAACGGATTGGAACGGATGAAGACGTTGGCGCGGGTGGAGGCGGGCACAAAGAAATGACTCTATGCACGAAACGTGCGCGCATCACCCATAATGGATTAGGAAGAAATTGTTGGTATTATCAGATGGCGCACGCATATGGATTGTAGCGCGCGCGCAGTGCACGTCAGGGTGAAAAATCACTAACAATAAGAAATGTTCAACGAAGTCACAATATTGGAGATCTCGTGACGGAAGGACGAATTGCAATTTTCCACGAGACGTCAAATGTAGGGCATCTTTGACAGATGCAAGGACCAGGACGCAGTGGGTGGTCAGGAGAACGACGAGGACAACGGGACAATGCCGTCAAAACGACGAGCCACACGAATGCCCAGATAATCACAATTCACTTTCAGTAAATTCTTACCACCTCGGCGGCCGTACCACGGGTCTATGTTAAACAGACAGGATGATGCGTGTCGTCGATCAACCTTTTGAAGACAGTACCGTATGCGTGAGAACTCGAGTCGAGCAGGCTGGCCATCCTTAAGTACGAAAGTTCCTGGCTTAACGATCGATTGTTTTAGCTCGTCGGATATGCGGGGCGGGCGATTTCAAATATAATTGTCGTATCGAAGATATTGATAAAGTGGAACAATGTTAATTCTGTTTTAAACGATATTTATGACATTTTAATCCCATCTAAAACTTGTATGCTGCTTCCAATGTCTCTCTTGTGCCTACTAGTCGTCAGACACAAACTTCGACGAGATTGATGGTGTCTCTTTACCTGTATCCCCTTGGTGTTACGCTGGTCGGTGCATTGAAGATTGGTATAGAGACAATGAAAAGATTTTATTAAGTCGATAATAAGCCCGTTACATAATATAATGATTCATGATAGCCATTCGTCATATACAGGTCAATTTATTAAAGTATAGAAAAGTCACAGATCAAATAGTACTCTGTAGATTATGTATGTAGTCAATTAACTATTTCTAGTTAGTCATCACTCTGTTGAATTACTCTGATATTTTCTATAGTAGTATGTGTTGAATTTTCTATCAGCTACCTAACAACCATCACCTTGTTTCATTGCTGCAAGCCGTACACAGTTACGTTAGTCGTACTCAACTGTATACGGTGTATAATAACAAGCATGAAGAGTTTTCACTCCTCCCAGAACGAAATATTTCCAATATTATAACGAATCGACAATGTAAGTGCACAGGCGCAAACTTTGTTAGGGCTTTGATCCGTATTCTATTGATTTGAGGTAGTGTATTTAATGTAATTCTATTGTCTTGCTTGTTGCTATCTGTTACGTGTAGATATGTTTTTTTATAGCGATAGCTTCGCGTACGCGGCGACGCTTATGAAAGTTGTAATAAAATTGCTGTAAGTCGCATTTGCGCGTAACCGAGTTATGTCCAAAAAAAAATAAGAAAAATTGTTCTACGACGCGGAACACGTATAGTCTATAGCATCTCTTTTTATCTGTTTCACCTACTATCTTTATTTTTCAAGCTCGGTTTATATTTGCAGATTATCATATCAATGAACGCTGCGTGCTGTTAACGTGCGTCCAAGAGTTTCTAACTTTTGTGTAGCCGATTCGTCATATCCAGGATATTACGTACACAGCGATTTCATGAATGAGTATTGTTTGTGCGCGACGACAGTTATGCATTAAAACCATAAGTATTTGAAATTATTAATTGCGCGGTCATTGCTATCTGTTACTCCACATAATTTACTGTTTGATGCCAATATTTCTTTTCTTGTGATACTTATACAGGGTTATTCTAGCACTGATGTATGACCCTCGGCTTTGTTGTCTTTATTGATTAGAGATGGCGTCTTTTCTGAAAACCTGAAGTACAAAGAAGTTTAGTATATCTGTCAGTCGCTATTTGCATAAAATATAGAGAATAGCGTGTTTGACTTACTTTTTTTGGTTCTAATTTTCGACACTTTTCTCTTTTTAGATGGAACGGACGAAGACCCTCCAAAGTTTGTGATTTCATCGCCCAATGTACCAAGGGTGGTCATTTGCCGACGTAGATGTTTCTCTTGCTTGGTTACCGGTAATCGTGTCATGTAATTCTCCTCGTACTCAATCTTTCGTTTGTTCTCTCGGCCTAAGCTGACTTGCTGCATGCTCCCGATCTGTGAGTCTTCGACAGGGGCATCCAAATATTCTTCGCGCAATTCACGCAACACCGTTCCTGAAACCGCACGCCTACGAGCCCGCTCTCCTGCCCTTCGAATCTTTTCAGCTGCTGTCTCATCTCCGTCTAAAATTATGAGATAAAAACAAAAATTAAACAACTTACATGACTGAAAAATTCCAAGACGAGGCAGAGTTCCTCTTATTATTTCATAATGCCAGACATGAATACTAACCATAGTGAACTGCTGCCAGTTTTGGTGGAATGTAAAGTCTTGTTTTCCGTGACTGCGAAGACTCCATAGCACTATTAACTTGAATATCAAGTTCACTTTCAGATTCTTCGTTCGATGTTTCCATTTTACCAATGAGGGAATAAGGATGGGCCTTGAAGCTGCTTGGATCATCAATACCAGTTGTGCCAGTTACTGCTGTTTTCACAAGTTTGTCTATTTGATATTTGAGCTTGTGATCTATCGGTCGAATCTTTTCAAGAACTGTTCTGATTTCAATTAAACGATCTATCGATGGATCACCTTCGATACGCTCTCCTGAGCACTTTCTCAAAACGACATATGTCAAATTAATAAGATAGGAAAGTAACATGTGGTATTTCATTTCTAGGAAACTGAGACCCTTGTCTGTTGAAATTTCGCCATTTCGTACTCGGATCAGCATGTTGTCCACAAGTTGATTTACCTGCAGAACATTAGCATTCATTTCTCCTAACAGGCGAAATGCCTGTGGAAGATCACTTTGCTCCATTTCGTCCATCGCCTAAAATTATAATACATAGCATGGACAGCGCATTGAGATAAATAGTTTGCTCTCATTTTAAATTCCAATTTTCTAATGGCTAGCAATAGGAATAAATACTAAAAAAAAAAGCTGTTCTTAAGAATGACAGCCATGTGCAACAGTAAAATGAAGTTGCTTACCTGAACCATCGTATGAAAATAGGAATCAACACAGGAACCACATATCCAAATAATAAATCTTGCTATTAAATGAGATATCCACGTGGGACGATATTTTTTTCCTTATATTATCCCACTATGAAAAGCTTGGTCAATCCATCATCGCAGTTGTATGACAAATGTACTCGGAGAGTTTGTAGACAAAATTTGGTTTGTTCCAAACATTAAATGAATGACACTATTTTCTATACGCGATGGATCAGTACTAAGTAACAGAGTATTATGAATTAAATGTAAAATATAATAATGGAAGTCTACACAAGTTGACTCACTATCTAATTCCTTCTCACTGAAATATACTTAAGGCTGTAAGAAGCAGGACCAATCATGTAGTAAGTAGCAATTGGGAGTCTGTCCAATATACGTAATCCACTTATAAAAATAATGCAACGACACGAAGTCATAGCTCTATTCGTTGGCTTTAACGGAAACTCATAGGAGTAGCCAATAACGGAGAGTTGTGTCGGATTTCGCTGACAGAATTCACCACTGAACTCTATCCATACTGGAATCCGTACGCCTGTATTCGGAGGTAACCCGCTCAGCGCGCAGCCGTCTCAAGCTGTGTACAAGCTCTGCGAAGTGTTGTCCCGCCGACGTATCAACGCCAGCCGTGGTGCAATGGAAAGAGCACTGAAATACAAAACATATAAATCCTATCTAGGCTGCATCATATAAATATGGAGCCTTATAAAAACGACAAAAAAATATTTAGCAGTGAAATAAAATATATGTGTTCATATTTCAGGTTATGCTATGTTGGTTTACGCCCGTTTTCTTCGACGCCGTTCAATGCATAAACTCGGTTTAACTGTGCTGTTAGCGTTGAAGAAAATGGGCTTTAGTCCTCCCCAACCGCGCTGCATTTTCCCAGCTGTAGCTTGGCAGACAGACGTTCTCCGCTACTCACCGCTGGTACCCAAAGTAACCCTTAGAACGAGACGGGGAACTATAGAACTTATGAAGAACTATTAAAAAAAGCCTATTGTTGAAACATTTTTAAGACAGCTTTAAGAAAGTCTGGTGCGAACTTGACACCCGTGTAGCATCTTAGTTATTGAAAAATGTTTCATCACTTGAGGGTACTTGGCCCTCTATGAGGCCATAAGGCCAAAAAGGAATAAGAAGAAGAAGGAAGAGAGAAGAAGAAGAAAAAAATTAGTTGCACAGAAATATTGAAAATTCGAAACATCGAATAAAGCTTTCCGAATACTACTAAATATTATTGGATCTTGATTTACTTTCAAAATTTATACAAAATATAAAACTGATGCTAAATCAAAAGCCGCAGGACTCGGGGGTTTTCCTCAATAAAAAAACCAAAAAAAACACGGTCCCCTATGGGGCCTCGGAAGGGTCATAGCTCCCTTCAGGAGAGGCAGGACCTCACGGAAATGGACGCGGTGGGGCCCATTTCGCTCCCTTATATTTCCTACTTTTCCTACTTTTTCGAGTATTCTCTTGTCTCGCTCCTCCAGAATAATCTGGTCTTCGTGCATACGCTTTACGCATCTTCTTCTCCCCTTGCTCCCTCAGTAATAACCATCTTTCTTCTTCACTCTTTCTGTTTAACAATCTTCCTCTTTTTCCCTTCAACAACATCTTCCCTGTCTGCTGCCACCAAACGTTTCTACTCAATTTTCGAATCTCCTAATCCTTTCTATGTCTCCATGCGTCTCTTCTCCTAATATATCCTTAAAAATAGTTTATTTGCCTATAAGTTTTTAAAATGTTTTTTGAAAGAAGAAAAGTTTGAAGTGGTAGCGCATGTAACATACTACACGTATGTATATTATATTGTACTGATATATGTAGTATATCTCTAATGGTATTGTTATTGCTTATCTTTCGCGAACCATATATGTACATCTGTACTTCGTATACTGTATCTCATTGTTGCGTTTATCGAATAAAGTATCTTTAAACACTTATAATACAATATGTATATTATTATATTTAATATATCTCTAATGATATTGTTATTGTTAATTTTTCGCAGGCCATATATGTAAATCTGTACTTCGTATACTGTATCATTATTGCGTTTGTCCAATAAATTATCTTTAAACACATATACACGTTGATATTCTTTTGCCCTATGCGAATATCCCAGAGTACGAATGCGTTCTGTCTCTTTCTTACACTCCTCCGTCCTAACAGCATCCTTCTCCTTCTCCTCCAACCTTATGCTTCTATACCCCTTTTCGGCTATGCTGCATATTCTCTGCCATTACTTTCATTCCATCTGCAATTTTCAAAAAGTATAGGGATTTTTTGAAAGTTCCCTATCGCACTTTATCTGTACCAGCCTGATACAGCTGATTTTCGAATTACTCTAAGATTTATTTTGTCAGAGAAAGTTCACTCATTGTCTCAGAGATGGCGCCACTTGTCATGCCCATGTAGATAGCGAACAGCAGACGGTACTTACCGACCGAACTAGGGCAAGCACTGCCATACCTATCGGCCGTCGCTGGCAGGAAGCCGACCGCAGCGCTACGGCAAGCGTAGGGTAGTCAGTAGTCTTCCAGAGCATTCCATGGCGTCCATAGCAAATAGTATACCTCTGTACCTGAAACAAAAGAAATAAAGCTTACGTGTGTGAAACTTACCTGAGTGCAATATATTCCTCGTGATTAGATAAAATATAAACGACTTGTGTACGCGTCCGCAGAGATGAGTGGGGAGATGTACAACGCTCCGGTTTTAGGCGATACCAAAAGCATGGCGCTAAATCGTAGCGGCGAGTCCGGGAGTAGGATTTCGTGATCATCGCCTCTGTCGATGTTACAGATTTCGCGTAGTCGCGAAAAGTAAGCGAAACGATAATAGTAAGCAGTTGAATAAACGATGAAATACAACTTCCGAAACAAGTAAAACATACAAGTGTTTTTGGCGTCTGGCTAGTGCACCCGGTTACGAATCGGGAGGTCTATGATTCGAGACCCCTCTATGGAGAGTACTTTATTTTTACAAAAAAAAATGTGCTTTTGCAAATGGGATTAACATATTAAAGAGTGTATCCAATTAATTTATTTATCTTATTACAATAAAGGCATAACAACGACAACCTGCGGGCTTTCGCATCACCCAAGAGGTGCCGCCGTCGATGCGTCCCCATTATTTAACGTAGCGGGTCCCCAGTAGGCCTATACTACGATCGGCCTATACTATTTTTCAAGGTTCCTCTCGTTCAAATTTTCTCGGTTGCTCAAACTTTATTTTAAGCTTATATTAAATATTTTAAAAAAAAGGTCATCGGGATCGAAAATCATTTTCTATTAACTCACAATATTCGCTTTCGCAATATCCTTCATAGTAATAAAATAAACATGAGACGTGTTGCG